TGTACAGGGAGACAGGGGACCCCCTTCTAGCCACACGCCCCAGAGGCCAGAGCCAGCCAGTGAGCGGCAAATAGAGAGAGAAGCCAGGGACTGGGCACTGTGCCCCCGGCACCATTTTGGAGCTGTCCAGTCTCTGTGCCTGACTGAAGGCTCCAAAGACTACTGATGCAACGCTGAAGGGGACTGAGACACAAGGGGACAGGCCAGATCTGCCTCTGCACAGGCAGGCGGTTAGGAACAAACCTGGGGACAGAGCCATTTCTGTGTTTGTTTTATTGAAAGCAAGGCTCCAGCCATGAGGCTTGGGGGAGGAGGCAGAGAGAATTCTGACCCAGGTCTCTCCTTCCAGGCCGGCAAAGAGCTAGAGCTTACGGAGAAGCTCCTTCCACTCTGATGAGGGATGCTCCTCAGAAGCCAGGAAAGGAGAGCTGAAAGGTAATGGTCCCGGGTGAGGGCAGAGCAGGGCCCCACATCTCAGACGCCCCCTGTCCCCAAGTCTCACCCGCCGCCCTCCTCCACCAGTAACGGAGGTTCCAAGAGCTCCTCTCCACTTGCAAAGCTTCGCGGAGGTTGGCTGCCTTTAACCCCGAGGTCCTAAACAAAGCCCGAGTCCCCTCCACTGCCACCATTCCCTCCCTGAGCAAAGGTCCCAGCACTGCTCAGAAAACGTGAGGGTGCAGTTCAGAGTCTTCATGCAACACGGGCGTAGGAACAACCATCCCAGGGAGTTTCTCTGCGGCGTTGGGGACCCTCTTCTACCACTGGGGACCCTCTCATGTTGCCTCTGGGTCCATGCAGCCAGTCCAGGGAGCTGTTATGTCGGGTAATGGGCTCCAGAGCACCAGGCGTGAGAGCCTGGAGGTGCAGCTGAGGAGGTGCTGGGGTCTAGGTGGCCCAGAGTCCAGAGTTGTCAGGCTGTCCGGTCCTCGACCGTGGCCCCTGGCTCAGGTTGCAAGCGCTTCGCAGAGCCTTCCCCAGCTGCAGGGTCCCCGAGGCTCCTCTTGGCGGTTGGCGCGGCTGGGGGGGATGAGGGACCAGGGTGAGGGTTCGGAGGCTGGTATCCCGGCTGCCGCGGATCCAAGGCGTCCTTGGAAAGTAGGATGGCGAGGCCGGGCACGTTCTTAAGTACACTGAGGCTGGCGGCCGGCTCGCCAGGCGCCAGGGCCGGCGTGGGCCCAGGCGGGAGGCTCTCCCACACCTCCCGCACGCTCCGGTAGCGCAGCCGCGTGACCTGGTGCAGGCCCGCCAGGCGGCGCTTGAGGATCTCGGCGCACGTGACGGTCTTGGTGGTGGCCCCGCCGCAGCCGCTGAAGACGATGGCGCGTGTGGCTGGCTGCGCCATGCTGGCAGTGGCGAAGGCCATCAGGTTCCGGATCTTGCTGCCCTCCTTGACCCGCATATGCACGGCGCCAGGCGCCAGGTCCGCAAAGGGGCCGGAGCCCGGGCTGCCCCCCTCAGCCCCCCCCCCCCCCC